CCCGGCTGCTATGACTCTGGAATGACACGACTCTGGAATTAGTTTCACGAGGAAAACAATGTTTATTTGCTTCCTGTTATTCTCGCTTGTTCAATCACACACTTTCTCATGCATAGCAACATAGAGTGATTTTCCAAGCGTAGCTGTGACACAAGGCCGAAACCTCCCCCAAAATTATTACCAATTGTACTATTTTTTACAGGCTTTTATTTTAACAAAATACAAAAAAGAGAAAAGAAAAGACGATCAAAGCAAGGAAGAATATAACTTTCGTAACATCTCGATGAATGAATTCTTCTTTAAAGGTGTACAATGATAGTAATTTCCTTTTATCATGTGGATGCGTTTTCATTTTAATTTGATAGAAGATACAAACTAGTTTTCTGAAAAGAAATCAAATCGAAGTCTCCTATTTGTTAAATTTTCAAGACACGATCATTCCCAAATCACTAAAACACGCAGTATTGGAATACAGACGATACAATAGTATAAAAGGTTTTTGTAGTTGTTTTATTCTTTGAAACCCAAATAAAAATGAAGTAAAAAAAATACTTTTTTCCTTCATTAATGAATCTATACTTTACCTGTCGACATTCATTCGGCGTGTAGTGTGGAACGACGGGTAGTCTTGGTTTTGGTCAATCTTAGTGAATTTCGTCTAGTTAATCTCAGGTTCGATTCTCCTTGAAATTATTTCAAAACATGATTTTTCAACGTATTTCGTTTTTAATTTTCTTATCAGCTTTTCAATCCGTCTTCCTGCAATTTCAATAATTATCATTCATTTAGTAGACTTGCTCTTTTTCTTTTTTTCTTTTTTTTCTTTGGTCAACCTCCGGGGATCCCAGCATCACACTAAAACATTTATCTCTGCATTCAGAAGCCAATCAAGCAGCATGTCGCCCGCGGGCCACAGTTTACCCATGGCTGCCTTATATAAAGAGCGGCCAGATTGATAGTACAATTGTTCATGAACGACTCATAAACACGCATCTCAGCCAGTTACTATCTCAGCGAACTCAAACGGTGATGTCGAAACTTCGACTATCAAAATTCCTTTCGTTACCGATCAGAGATTTTGGAAGTTAGTGTAAATAGTAAACTAAATACAAACTCAGAAAATCCCCCCCGATGTACCGACCAATTAGTGAACTCTCACCAAGCCGTTCACAGTGACCAGATCGATCTTTGGCTGAACTTTAATATCGTGAACATGTCTCACTTTTATTAAAGCTTCGTCAGAGAATGAGATAAAAACAGTTTTTATCTCAATGTTTATCTTAAAATTCTGCCGGATTCAGGTTCGTATTTGATCTACATTTGATCTTTATCTCTCTCTCTCTCTCTCTCTCTCTCTCTCTCTCTCTCTCTCTACACATATATATATATAATGAACTCCTGAAATATAATACGGAAGTTCCTTGTCGCAAGTACCTTTTGTATAAAAAAGGGATTGCTGTCCAAATACAAACACAAAAGATATACACACACATATATATATATATTCCGTTTATACGTTAATTCTATAGATATAATTTATTTAAGTAAATGCTCTGGTTTTTCTTTAATTAAACAGTATTAATTACAATTACCAGCTTGAATGTTCAAGAAATTTCGTAGAAATTATGCGCTCTCCGACATAACGATTACAGGTTCGATTCCTGTTAGAGAGAGCATATTTTCTATGAAATTTCTTGAGCATTCAGGCTGGTAAATGAATTTAATACTATACTTAAATAAATTATATCTATAAAAATAACGTATAAACAGAAAATATATTAAATAATTGTCGGGTTTAATCCATTTCATAATATACACACACTCGCGCAAGCACACACACATACATACATACATATATATATATATTGCACACACAGGCACACACACACACATTACACACCATACCTGAGTTTTTCTATAAATATTTTCATAACAATTGTTGTGACGAGCTTTCCTCTTTAGTAGCTCGACTTTCTAAACTTTAGTGTAGTACTAGATTAATTAAGTTCTATTCTAATAATTTCGCACTTCTCACCTGTTTAACTCTCTTCCGGCTTCCTCCTTTCCTGTCATCTACGATCTGCAAAAATTTACCAGTAACATCAATCACCACCTTCTGTCTTGTTTAATCATGTTTTTTTTTATTGTCCCTTTTCGTCACTAACGTTTTCTTATTACCGCTTACGTATCAGAGGCTTTATCACCTTGATTAGGGCGAAATGATTAAAAAAAATAACAGCTATGCATAAGCAGAACTTAGTTACAGTTCATGGCGAGATCAGTTTCTTGAACAAGGCCAGCACGCTCAAACTCTGGTTTACGATTACTTGTGGTTTGCTGCTAGCACAATCATCGACAAATCTGAATGGTTTCGTCTAACTAATTTCACTCACAACGCTTGGGTCAACACATGGTATGGTTTTCAGTCACTTTCCAAAGATGCAACGCCTATAACGGGAGTGAGGTAGGGAAGAAAAGTTTATTCTCTCTTTTGTATTTCCTCCGTTATAGGCATTATTATATACGTGATATAACAACATCGTATTTCACAAACGGTACGGAATGGCTGAAAGGAAAAGGGATGACAAACATACTTTGTTCTCAGAGATATACTTTTATATCACTATGATATACACAGAACTATATATGCATGTGTCTCAAGTAGATAAAATATATCGCACGGGAAGGCGGAGTATAAGGAAAAACAAAAAGGAAGGACCTTATATATAATATGGAGATACCCTGTGTCTGGAGAAGCCATGTTTGGGACTCCAGATTCAAACGAGCTGCATTCATTTACTATGTTCCAGGTGAGGACATATTGAGCGAAGGCGAAACGGAGAGTCTTGGGTTTTCCCAAATTGAGGGCTGCAAGCCGAAGTTTCTTTCTATATCTGAGAAATATATATTCCCAAATGGAAACGGCACCATGTGCTTGTAAGCTGCTGAGGGAGGAAGATTTAGCTTCAACCCGGGCGATTTGGCCTTGCCTAAAAGAAAGCAAGCACTCGGTTTGGCTGATGTAAACAAACTGAATGACTGGACACTCTCGTCATTGTATGTAGTGACGTCACTAAGCGGCCGTTTCGTGACCCAAGTGGCTTATCTCCACAAAAGGGAGACAATCGTTTTTTGTATCTACACACGCCTTACCCGTTCGATAACGTCAAGAAGTTCTCCCAACGAACAAATTGACAATTTTCCTTTGGAATATGTATGAATTTATATTTCCTCCAATTAAAGGGTTAAATAGCAGAAGGAACTGGGCTCTTTTGCTTTGGTTGGAAACCAGTTAACCAGAAAAAAAATTTGAAGTAAAACTGACGTCATACGGCTGTAAGAAAGACATTCCTTGCATCGTAGCGTAGTCTTGCCATTAGCTGCAAACAATTAATTCTCCATCATTTCATTCACGAGTCTGGACCTATGCAACTCTATACTCATCTAAAAAACGCTAACGTACACGTTGTTTTTTCTTGAATGAAACTTCTTGAGGATGGATAGCAACAAAGACGCTGTGTCCGATTAAGTCTATATACTTAATCTGGCGTAGTCTTCGAAATGGAAATAACTTGGCTGTTTTGAAAATTTCAATCATAACCACTGACAATTGACACCCATACGAAATAAGAAAGCAAAACCATGTTTCTTTAGTAAACAAACTTTAATTTAGCAGTGCGAGGAACTCAGAGACGATCAAACTCACTATAGTAATGGTTTTACAGATGATTTTGTTCGCAAAGGGAAGCATAGTCAGAATATATACCAAGATTCATCATTAAGTCTGTAGACTGACATGCAGTTATGAGCTGAAATTTGACCTGATATTTTCATTGTATAATAATTGATCTATGTCATTAATATTCATTAGTGAAGCAAGTGCATTAACAAGGTTGAGTGATTGATTTGTTTTCTACGGCTTATCAATCCATTGCGAGTTATTTAATACCAGAAAATATTTTAAGAAGAATTTAATAATGATTTAGTGATACAAGTCTTACTAATTAACCTCTAACTAGTAAGGAGAAGAGGTGGGTTCATTGCTTTCTCAAGGAGAGATTTACGCGTAAGTGAATATAACAAACCTAACGGGAATTGTTAACAAGAAATGAGATCATGTTGAAAATTTTTTCTCGCCACACACACACACACACGCACGCACACACACACACATATATATATATAGTTGTGTATTTGGGTAGCAGTACTTCTTTAATATATGTCTCGTTGAACAAGAGTGAGAGGATACTTCTGTTTAGTTTTCTTATTGTATTTATCTTGTATGCGTACAAGTGTCTTCTTTTCTGGATATAATGAATGTAAAAATTAGACAAAAGTACTTCCCATGACAAAAAGCATTTAAAAGTGATGGAAATCCTTATTTATAAAAAAAAAACAAAAAAAAAACACAAGTAACTAACCCTAAATAAAAATTAATTAAGAACATGATCACAATGTACTGGTCGTATTTGGAAATTAAGAATTTCACCGACATTTATACCATCTACAATAGCATTATATGCATAATGTATAATCTATCGGTTTTGATTTTACAATATGGGTACACTGAAAATCAAGGATAAAGGGATTGTCAGAGGTCAGAAATTAATGTAAGCATTATTGATAATATGGTGGAAGGCAACGATAGTTGTTTCCTCTTCGAACTACTCAACTATAAAAGAAATAGTCGAACCTCGCTTATGGGCAGTAGTAAAATTATATTGAATAAAGCTTCATACATGCTAAAACGTTCGTCTGTTTTTCATTACATTTAGAACATTGATTTATTGACTCGTTTTCTACGGTTTTGCAGGTTACTTAAAGCCAGTGATACAAGTCTTACTTATCAACCCATACTTAGAGGAATAAGAGTTGAATACATAGCTTTCACAATGGTATTTACTCGTAAGTGAATATAACGAATCCATCTGGAACTGAAACTCGGCTCTTCAATTAACAATTCCGAGCCATTATCTATTATACCACCAGAACATCCAATCTTACGGCATCTGGTATTTCCAAGCGATCACCCATATAAGTACTGACCACGCTCAACGATGCTTAACTTCACCGATCGTACGAAAACCGGTGTTTTCAACACGTAATATGCACATAAGCCTATATATAGAACAGAGATTTAACATGGATAATATAAAGGCACTTTTAATGGTTTTACCATAGCAAAGACAGATTGAGGGCAAAAGAGACAGAGGTAAACAAAACATAACATACTGATGAACTTGAAAAATGGCTGGCGAAACGAGGTTTAGAAATAAAGAAAAGACTGAATTTATTTAGAGCTGCAATGGATAGGAAATTGTGGAGAGCAATGATGACCTATGTCCTGAGGGGACACGGCAAATAAAAATAATAGGAATACATTGAAAACCAGGGAGGTGAGAGGAAGCACGGTGGAGTAATGCGGATAGCGGCTCGGATTAAGGAAGCGGAGTTCGAATTCCAGTCAAATCCATTACATTCACTTTTGTGATAATATCCTTGGAAAAGGTATAAATCCTCTTCTCCTCCCAGCTATGGGTAAATAGCAGGACAGATCGGGTTCTATAGCTTTAGATGGCAACTGGTCTACTGCAGAAAGAAACGGCAACCTACTGCGGGAAAAATTCTAGGTACATGACTGCCTACGCGTGGCACATAACTAACATATATATATAATGTAAATCTATTGTTTGTGATTTTACAGTAGGAATGCATTATAAATTGGGAAGTATTGCCAGTGGTCAGGAATCGACAGTCTATTATATGTATAATATAAATATATCGGCTTTGATTTTATCTAGATATTCCCTTAAAATCTGCGCTTAGAATAAAAGAAAAACGGGGCTATGGTAGTTAGAAATGAAATGTTCTTGAAGAAACATTAACCATTAACAAGCTGCATTATTCACCACTACCTTTTCCACTGCATTGTTTTTCAACGCTCCTCTAATGCACTACTTAATTTCAGTCATGGTCATTTTCTGTTGCCATAGCAGGATATAACAACACAACTGCAAAGTTCAAACATTCATTCATCTGAGTCACTTGCAGTGGCAGGATAAAATCTTTGCTTTGCAAACAAAATCACCTCCAGAATGTTAAAGGTTAAAGACTATATGGTGACTGGCTGCTCGTATCCGAGTATGCCTGTCTACTCAGGTAGCTATCTAGTCCCAGTTGCAGGCACCTGCTCAGGTACATTTGTTTTTGTTCAATACCCACATAACCCACCCGTGGTCTGTACATACTGAGCGGACCTTAGTTACAGTTTCTGAGAGCGAGCGTATTATCTGTCGTGATCAACAGTCTGAACAAACCTTCGATGACTTGTGACTTCGTGCTAGCGCAACCATCGACGGCCACCCTCACTCCACCGGATTCCGTCTACCCAATTTCACACACAAGGCTTGGGTCAACGCGCGGTATGGTTTTCAGAAACTTTCCAAAGATGCCGCATGCTGGGATTGCCTCTCCCAGGCCGATGACATAAAAAAAATCATCTTCCTGATAAATCGGCTATGATGAGATTCGAACACAGGTCTTATGGTTGGGAAGCGAAAATTCTAACTACTTGGCCATATAACAGAACATGCCATTTGTTTGTGATTCATAATCTCTCCTCTGCTACCAGTCCAGACAAAACTTGTCTCCGAATTGAGATAATCTGTTGTCACCAACCACTACGAAGCTAATCTTTCTCTTCTCTTTTTTTTTTTTTTAAACCTATTTTGATGGTTTAACGTTTGTTGAAGTGCTTCACGCTTTTCTAGATTAGTTAATCGTTTTTGTAACAAGAGCACCCATTGTTAATATCAAAAACCATTGCTAACTGGTGTTAAGTTTGGTCACGTGTCCAAAATATCAGCCAACAGCTGACTCTAATTCGACACCCCAGACAAATCAAAGTCGTCCTTCTTTTCTAACGCCAAACTAATCGTGCCAGACTTGCCCACAGATAAAGATCAGTCAAGGTGTGTAATTCAATCCTCGTTCACCAAACGCAGATTCTGTGGCAATGAACAGAAGAAATATAATCGAATAAGGGGATGGGCGGCTGTAAAGAGAATTACTGTGGGTGGGTGTTCAGCGTTCCAGGGTAAAGAAAGATCAACCAAAATTATTAGACGCTTTTATTTATTTATTTTCAATTTATCTATAGTTTGTTAGTTTGTTTATTGCTCTATTGGCTTCGTATTGTTGTCTATGCGTTTATGCCGTCGTGCCCAAACATCTTGGCAGTGGTGTGTTACCTCGACTACTTACTCGGCCGATAAACAAACAACACCTGTTAAAGGAATATGAAGTGATATTTAATTGAACCGGCACAGTCATAATCGATTGCATATCTCTTAATTCCTGCAAACAACACAAGAGTCGATCAGCAACGCAAAGCAAAGCAGGATAAAACAAACATCTGGGACTGGCCTTAAAACTTCAAGAATTTTTTTTGTTTCGTTATTTAATCATTTATTTAGTTTTTTAAATTTATTTCATACTAAACTTTCATTTCGTTAATATCTTTTTGAAACATAAGCCCAACTTTATTCTCGCCTCATTCAGTAATTTACCTGAATTTAAGCGAGTAATAAATGAGATTACGTATTTGACTGTATCCCGTTTCTACGAGAGGATTTATTCTTTCATCTTGATCACGGAGCAAATGGCTAGCTACAGTATCCAAGGTGGAACAAGTCGGTAAGTACAGTAAATATCATTTTTATAAATATAATATATATTATTTTAAAAAATATTCGTATATAGTTTTAAAAGCAATCGGAAGTCTGTTTGTAATGGTATATGAGATCTGTGCGGAAAGTATCAACCATTCTGTATATCTGGAGAACCGGTTTCGCGGTTGGCAAACAGTCAGAAAGGACCTTGTTGTGCATGCATAAACATACACTCTCTCGTAAGGTCACCCACTTTGACGTGCAGGGCTTGTTTTAGCAAAACCACACATCAAACCGGGCCTGTCACACTCACTACATTCTGCAGTTGGCTCTTTGCGACTTCTGATATTTTTTCCAAAGGTGTAATTGCTGTGGACAAGATTAAGGAGAACGTGATTATGCAGCTGATAGCGTTCCCCCACCAAAAATTTGCAGATTGTTTTGAAAAGTAGAATGGACGTTTAGACAATGTGTTACGGTCGCAAGGGGAGTACTTTGCCGTTTCTGGAGAGACTACCTACATATTGTAAAGATCAGAGTTTAATACCCGAAGTCACATGTTTTCGAAATCGCTCGAATCAAATACACTCTTTTTTTTTCTTTTTAAATATTTTCCATTTTATGTTTCCTATCCCAAATTTTAAACTCTGTAGTTTTTGGCCAGGTCTTTGGTCCATGTAAGAAACAAAATAGAAATATGTTTCTTGTCTATAAGGTATTTAATAAGTTTATATTAACATGCCACAGGGACACAAGTATAGGACCCTAATGAGGATTAGAGTAGCAATAGTCTTTTAGACTAGCTCGCTAACAATTACCTCTTGTCTAGAGCATTGACGCATATAAAACAATACGAAACAAATAGGACAACAAACTATAGACAAATAGTGTAGCAAGTTGGTTGTCTTATCTCGCAGGTTACCGATAGCTCATTTCTTGAGGGCTGCAGTAATGCCTTCTGTCAAAATTAACCTTACTAATTAAATACAAAGTATTACGAAAATGGCTTTTATAAACATTTTTGGATGTGGTGTCTGAGTGTGTGTAGAAGGGGGAATGAAAGTATAAAAATGAAAAATTAAACTCAGTTTTTAAGGCTGACAACAGGTGAGCTCAATGATGGAGGGAAGATTTCGGCTTTTCTTATCTCTACCTTCTGACTCGACCGTTTCTCTTCATTATCCAGGTTTACATTTCTCGTTTCTTGCACAGACAAGCGAAATATTTTGGCAGGAGGAAATAGACTAAAGCTTATAAGAATTCCGTAAATTTTCATCGAAAATTTATTTTAGCACACATTCTGTAAAATGTTTATTTAGATCGCTGGTGAGGAATTAATACATGTATTCTCAACAGAATAAGATTATTATATGTATAATGTAAGTATATCGGTTGTGATTTTACAATGGAAATCCATTGAAAAGCCGAGTAGTGATTGTCAATGATCAGGAATTAATGCCAGCATTATTATTAGAATGGGGCTATTAAATATATAATGGAAATATATTGGTTATGATTTCACAATAGAAATGTGCTGAACCTCAAAAAGAAACGGATTACCTGTAGTCAAGAATTAATGCAAGCGTTACAGACAGAATTGGGCTATTATACATAGGGATATTGAAAAGTTCTCGGCGTTATTTCAAGTGATTTTACTTTAAAATTGCATTTTAAATCAGAGACGGGGAGAAGTTCAGTAGTCAGGAATTACTGGAAGTATTATTAACAAAGTAGGACTGTTATATGCACAATTTATATACATTGTTTTTATAACAAAAATGTTCTTAAATAAAGAAGAAAATGTTTATAATGGTAAAAATCTAATGCAAGCGTTGCTGACAGAAATGTACTATTATATTTATAATATAACTATGTTAATAACTTGCAATGTATTTTAATTAATGAGCCTATTGTTTTGGTATGTAGTAATATTCATATAATAATTTGGTGTTGTTACGACTGCAGTATTGTCCTTTTTTTACGAAGTAGTTGACAGAACGTAGGACTGAAATCTTATCTCTCTAAAAACACACAAACAGAAAGAAATCATTACTACTTAGTTCGATCTCCACTGAGTGCTCCATACGAAATTCGACGTTAAATAACCCTACATGGGTTAATATGTCACAAAATCCATTAATCTAAGAATTATTACTGAGTAATGAATATGATCCTCACTGGGTGCCCCATTCAGCATTCGATGTAAAATAATCTTACAATGGTTAATATGTCATAAAATCAACCAATCAAGAAATTTAATGATAATTCTATTTCTATTTTTTACGATCTTCCAGTGCTCCATTTTGTTAAAGATTTCTTCATTTCCGGTGCTTTTCTGCAATGTGCATATTCTTTTTTTTTTACTCCTCAGAATCACTAGCGCAAAAAAAAAAATCTTTGGTGATCAGATTTCAAACAATTATTATTTTTTTT